TTTTCTTCTTAGCTTTTTAATCATCTCTTTTGAATGGTGTGTAAATATGTCTATAGAGATTCTCAACCATCCAGGTCTTGGATATTCCAAAGGTGTTTTCAAAAGGCAATTGAACTTTCCAAGAAAGTCCAGTTGCCTTTTGAAAGCACCTTTGGGTGCACAAATATGGTTTATTTTTGTGTATCTTGATAGCTGATTTGTCTGAATGCCAAACTTTCAAGAATTCCCTAGCTTTTTTTTTTTTTTACTTTAGCTTGGTCTAGGATGTTCAGATCCCCAGCTGAAACTATGGTTCGACTTTCAGACGGAAAGACACCAAAGAATTACATTCCGGTTGTATTATATATTCATATACAAGGTAGGACACATTCTAGTAGTCACATGAAAGTAATACCAGAAAGCCACAAAATAGTGTGGATACTTTGTATTATCTCAGAATTAATAATCAGAACAAAATGGGAAGAAAAGAAGAAACAAGATAGTATAGCTTTTCAGACTTGACTCATAGCAACATTCCAGGTCACATGACCAGGTAGAAGAAGGGAGGGGGCTTAGCATAAAGGAATCAACAGCATACTGGACTACTGACTCACTGAAATCTAGAAATCTCCTGTAGGGGGAACATTATTCTTTCTATCCTCTGGTTGGATGTGTTCCATTTTCACCTCAATTTTTTCTTTTGTCGGCTTCTCCTCCTGTCCCCTACATCTGCAGATTTTTCTTCAGATGATACAAAAGACCTTTCCAGAAGGTTATTCCTACATTACTTTGAGTTGGAAAAGATTAAAATTCGAGGGGAGGGGGTAAAAAAAGATGAGAGATACATTAATGTTCAGAGCTAACAATCTGCATTTATCAAGTCTTAAAATGGGATGCCAAAATAGGTTTTTGAGATTTAATTTAGGTTTGCACAGGTGCTGAGACGCCTTCAGGCTGATAGGAAGGAAACGATCCCTTGTTTAAAAACTCCAAAGTCAACTGCTTACATTTATTTGTAAGGCAATGCATCCATAGCAAAAGTGAATATGGAAAACATTAAATCCATAGAAGAAAAACTGAACATATGATTGGTAAAGCGTCAATTCAAAAAAAAGACCATCAGAAAAGAAACTTAGAATGCTTCCCCCTCGATAAATAAAAATTAAAGCTCATCTTCCTATATATTCTGAATAGATACAGCTTTGCAGAAATAGAAAACGCTGCTAAGTACATAATGTGTTCTATAGTATATTTTTCAACATATTGCTGCATTACAACTTGAACCTCAAGAAACACAGAACAGAATAAGAAAACTAGAAGGGACCTTGGAAGTCTTCTAGTCCAAACCTAGGATCAAGCAGGAAACCCTATGCCAATTCAGACAAATGATTGTCCCATCTCTTCTTACAAACCTCCAGTCGTTCCACTGATTGATTGTTCCATCAGGAAATTTCTCCTTAGTTCTAGATTGGTTTCCATCTTGATCAGTTTCCATCAGTTGCTTCTTATCCTGCCTTATGGTGCTTTGAAGAATAGGCTGATTCCCTATTCTAGAAATATGGCAACCCCTTAGATATTGGAACACTATCATGTCATACCTAATCATTCTTTTCATTAAATTAGACATACCTAATTCCTGCAACCTTTCTTTGTATGTTTTAGCCTCGAGTCCCCAGTAAACTGAAAAAAATGAAACCAGAAACTTCATTTTAAAATGTAATTGCTGATTTAACTAGTTTAACCTAGATAAATATAATTCTGTTGAAAAATCAGTGAATTATGATAAAGTTGAAAGCACACTTCAGTTAAAAGAAAGTGGCTAAAGGACACAAGAACCCCCAATATGCCATTTATCTGCCGAGAACAAAAAAAAATCAGTTTCCTCTTCTTCGTGCTTGGAAATTACATGGCTATCTGAAATCATATCACTGAAGTACATGGCCCTCTTTGAAACAACCCACCCATAGGATTTCTGATATTGAAAGCTCTTGATAGGAGTCAGAATTAGCAGTTGTCTAGCTGCCATATAACACTCTGTGGCTTTTCCTTTTCCCTTCTGTATTGTGTAAAATGTACATTTTCACACAGATGTAACCTGACAAAAGCAGGACATTAATCACAACACTGAAAAAAAGGCAAACAAACCATTTATCTACCATAAATGGGTTTCTGTTAAATTGGCATGTTCTGATTATAATAATTTGCCAGATCACAACTATAATGATAACGCTGTGATTTTTCAATTTTAGTTTAAAGATCTTAAAAGTTTATCTTCAGAACTTGGTGCAAAATAAATTGATCAGCAAATATTCAGAATCACAATCATTCACAATGAACTTGCGAATTTCACAAATCCATGATTTGTTTTACAGTACAGTACATCATTAAATAGGCCATAGATATTTCCTAGAAGCAGCTTTTTGAAAAATACAGCCCAAATTCTCTCTATTCAGGCTTTCCACACAGTATCAGTCAGTTTGAGACTAGGGTACACTGTTTTGGACTAGTGGTTTCAAATTGTGAATTCTAATTGCATCTTAGTCATGTAAGATGGCTGGGTGATCTTGGTTCAGTCACTCTCTCTCAGCTAACCCATTCTCAGGGTTGTTATTATACAGATAATAGGAGGAGGAAATATTAGGTGTTTGCTACCTTGAGTTATTTATTAAAAAAACAAATAAAAATTAAGGTTTGCCAGGCAGTCCAAGCAAATAGTGAATTGTATCTGTTGTTTACAGACTAATAAGGTACAAAAAAGGTAAAAGACAATGACTTTTCTCCCAGTTGCTTTTAGCTGTTAAGATGAGCTATCTGCTATTTTATATTTAGTTGTTAAGATGAGCTGATCTTTTCCTTCAGAGACAGAAAATTAATAATGTGACCTGTTGTCTTAATTATAAAGTATAAATTTACAAAAGCAGGAAGTGGAATGTACTAAGTGAGAAACTGCTAAATGTAACATGGGTTGGGCCATCTGTGCAATTTTCTGCAGCAAGTCACAATATTTGGTGTATTAGAAGGATCCTGAGAATAACAGTATTTTAATTTTTTTATCAGATTAGCACAATACACCTTAACTATTAAACCCCAATTAAAACTGTAGAACTCCTACTGTCATATAAAATTCAACTTGTAAAACGCAAATGGATAATCAGCCTAAATATGAACTCTCAATGGCTTTCAATGAGATAGTTTACTATATAAGGGAGAATCTTTAATGAATTTACCTTTTTTTAAGATAAGGGATTGGTATGAATGATGCCTTAAGAAGTGAAAATGAACTGACAGGGCCTGTAAAAGACCTGCAACTGTTATTTATGATATGGCATGGTTCCTCCTACCTGAATATAGCCTAGAACAGTGGTTTCCAACCAGTGGGCCAGGCACCACCGGTAGTCTGTGAGGAAATTTTTATGGTCCGAGAGAAATACTTCTCCCCAAAGCAATTAATCCAGGCTATGCAGGAAGACAAGGCTGAGCCGCCCACATGGCCCACCCACCCACTGGCCCCCACCCTTCGGCCAAGTGCAAACCTCACCTTGAGTAGAGCCACACAAGCTGGAACTGGAAAGTAAGACCAATGGCAGGGGAGAGAACTCCGCCCCGGGGTGGCTTGCTGACTTTGGTGGGAAAGTTGGTCCCATATTCCAGAACTGCAGTAGTCACAAGACTGGCCCTTTGGTCATCCTGGAGCAGCTGCTTCTCCAGTCCATGGCCCGGGTATAGGAGCAGCTGCTCTGGGATGACCAAAGGTCTTTTGACTACTGCAGTTCTGGAATGTGGGACTGACTTTCCCACCAATGTCAGCAAGCCACTGTCAGTCAAAATTCATATTAATGGTCTGCGCGATTTAAAATGATGAGCTTGGTGGTCCCTGAAATCCAGAAGGTTGGCGACCCCTGGCCTGGAAGATTGTAGCAGAAACTTGAAGAAAGAGGATTAGAGAAGTGAATGGACCCATTCTAGTTCATACGAGATAATGGTTTATGAAATCAAAATAACAGCAGGAGGAGATGCCAGAGGAAGCACTATTCCAACAGGAAGAGACTCAAGCAAAGAAGCAAGCTCAGCAGACAAGCAAGACAGTGAGAGTGACAAGCAAAAACAAAATTCATGAGTATACTTTGAACTGCTGAAATTAAACAAAGAGCTTCATGGAAGAAACTAGTATTGAACACCTGGAGAATTACAGGATTAGACCTGGGATGAAAATAACAAGTACAGGTGGTCCTCAACTTACGACCACAATGGAGCCCAAAATATCTGTTGTTAAGTGAGACATTGTCAAGTGAGTTTTGCCCCATTTTACAACCTTTTTGCCACATTTAAGTGAATCACTGCAGTTGATTAGTAACCCAGTTGTTAAGTGAATCTGGTTTCCCCATGAACTTTGCTTGTCAGAAAGTCATAAATGGTGATCATTGAAGCACCTGAATTTTGGTCACGTGGTTATGGGGAAGCTGCAATGGTTGTAACTGTGAAAAAGTCATAGGTCACTTTTTTCAGTGCTGTTGTAACTTTGAAGAGTCACTAAATGAATTGTTATAAGTTAAGGACTACCTGTAATTCAACAAAGACAAAGTGATACACTTGGGAAACAAAAATGAAACACATAAATACTGTCTAAAGAGGGCATACCTGGATAGTTTAATTTAGGCTGCTGTACTTAATGGGTGACTGGAATTGATGGCCTAAATGACAGCTTCAAACTGTTTAATTCTAAATTAAGGTGACCCCCAAATAAATATAGTACATGATGAATAAAATAATTTTATTTTTTTTACAAAGATTATACAATTGTTGTCTACCTTAAAGAACACCTTTTAGCAATTAAGATTTAATTTATGAGATACCATATGAAGTCCTTATTACATAAGGATCACTAATTTCAAGATATTTAGTATGAAAATATGTAAGGTCATTTTGAAGTTTATATGATAGTTTGCCATTGCACTGTTTAAAATAATAAAAGTAGAATTCATTAACTCCTCTCGCTTTGAAGATTCTTTTTCTGAAACCAATCTTCTATCTTTGCATTTGTAAAGGCAAGCATTTTTTTAAAAAAAGTCCAATCCAGAAGCTGTCAAGTTGATGCCAGTATATGAATTTGATTCTATGATACCAGTACTTTAAAAGAGCACATCGGTTGTACATGGCTTTGAACCTTGGGCTACAATTATGCTACCAAGCTCAAATAGAGTCTCAGTCATGTGGCACTGTGCATTTCCTCTGAAGACTGTTTAGAGTCCTGGGTGGCCCAGATCTGATGAAGGTGTTGAAGGCGTTCTGAAGTCCTTGTGCTTACATTCAGGGCAGGATGAACCTTTCGAATGCCAGGCTCACCGATTAAAGACAGGCCACAAATCCCAAAGTAGGCATGAAGAGCATCTAGAAAGGGAAACCAGAAATGAGTATGTATGTGAGAGAGATATGTCTACTATTCACACGTAGGTACACACAGTACAATACAATAACCTATTATTTTCTAAACTAAGATCTTTTCACTGAAAGTAAATAATACAAAAAAATCCTTCTGACACACAACTGGGGGTGGGGGGTGGGAATCATAGGCCAAGCTTAGAGAACATTGCATGAGGTAGGTTGTTTATATTCCACTTTTTGTTCAGCTCAAGATAGCATATGCAGGATTCTCTCCTTCCACTTTTCTTATAAAAACCATAACCATATGAGGTAGATTGGGCTGAATGACAGTGAATGGCCCAAAGTCACTCAGTGGTTTTAGAAGAAAAGAGAACTCTAATAGGCTGAGATTTGATTCCCGGGACTTGGAATTCAAAGCTTCAGTACCCTGGATTTCATAATATAAAACCATTTTTAAGCTTCCATTTTGCAAAGGTCACTCAATCTCTCTTCTCCAGCATTTTGTTCCACAGCAATGTTACATTTGTTTGCATATTCATTTCTAATTCATCAGCCAGTACTGTATTTTAATCCCATCTGCGGAAAATCTAATTTACCCTAAAACCTATTGAGAATGAAGTTATAATACAATATTTTTTCCCCCTGGATGAAATTTCAGATATTCAGAAGTTGAGAACAGAAGAAGCCTAAAAATTCAGGCTTTAAGGACAGCATGAAACTCATAAACATCTGAGCTTGTTATCAAATATTATTACCACAGCAGAAGGGGAAAACTATTGAATAATGAGAATGTAATTCCCTATATTTAAATTTAATTAAATATAAATGGAATCATATCATATTTGGTTTTTGTCCTGGCAGTGTTTATTACAACTAGTCCTCGACTTACAATTCGCTTTGGGACCATTCTAAGTTACAGTGGCACTGATAAAAAGTGACTTATGACCATTTTCACACTTATGACTCTTGCAGCATTCTTATGGTCATGAGATTTACATCTGGACACTTGACAACTGATTTACATTTATGACAGTTGCAATATCCTGGTGCAACCATCTGACTAGCAAAGTCAATGGGGAAGCCAGATTCACTTAACAACCGTGTTACTAATTTAACAGCAGCGATTCACTTAACAAATGTGGCAAGAAAAGTTGTAAACCGGGGCAAACTCCACAAATTTCTCACAAATTTCACAACGTAATTTTTGGGCTCAATTGTGGTCATAAATTGAGGACTAACTATAGTTTTAGAGTATGGTCCCTAGTGTAGATAAATTCAGGGTCTAGTTAATGCCAATATTGTAGAATGTTCTGATATTTTTTGAGATGAAGTGATTAGATTAGAAAATTGTACGTTATTCTAAATGCTACCACACAATAACAGGTTTTAAAACTTTAATAGTTCGTTCTATATTCCAAAACTACAAACAAAAAACCCATGTTTTTGCTACATTACAAAATGTCCTAAGCTTTAGCACAAATGTGTATCTTTCCTAAAGAATACCTACCAGTGCATTTTTTTTCTGCCACCACCATTTTGCATTTTCTAAATTCACTCATTTGCTCTTTTATTCACTTTTCAAAGACTTTGAAACAACAAGCTCTTTATAATCCATTTGAGTTTCCTTTGTCATCTGAAACTGCACCTTAATTTGACTATATCATTGATGATCCAATTCCAGATAATCCTGTATTATACAATACTTGAGTCTTATTTCCTTCCATTGTGACAATTCTTCATTTATTCTTACACTACTTTCCCTTTTATAATTCACTATTAATCCATATGATAAGCATTTAATTCTACGAATACTTATATAGAATCTTGCCTGAGGGATTCTACAAAATACTTTATTAGAACACTTATCTCTAGATCTGTTTTATCTTTTGAAAAATTAGAGACAAAAATTTATTTCATTCTAGAAAACATTTCTATTTCCTTTACCTCAGGCTCTGTTTTAAGACAATCTTTTCTTTGACATAAATGATCACATGAGTGAGCAAAAAACTGAAAATACCTGGATGACTATCTGGCCACTTAGCAAATCCACCAACAAGGCGATCTTGGGTTGATAAAATGTAATTTCTGTTTTTTTCATAGTTTGTGTACTGAAATATTTTCAGAAGCTGAAATAAAAATTTACCATGTTCAAAACACCTCAGAAACGTTACAATAAAGCAATTTCTCATGAGGAACACTGAAAGGCTGGATGATGATGGAATGTTTATGTTAAATGCTAAACCGACAGCCTCAAAGTAATCAAAAATCAAAGGTTTTCTCCTTTCTTCTTGCTCATTCATACATTTTAATCAGAAATTTTAGCTATCTAGTCTGATGAAAAACTCAGACGCTTGTATGCTGTCAGCTCAATAAAACTACTAATATACTGTAGACTAAGCAGACTATAGATTCTAAAGTCTTATTTATACTTTCAAATTACCTTAAGAGTTGCTCCTACCCAAAATGAATAACAGGTATCTACAGGCTTGTTGGGTCTTCCTTGATAACCATTCTGTTGCCTCATAATACACCATCTCTTTATTCTCTTCAGTTCTTTTTCAGAGAAGACTTCCTCAAGTTTACCCATCAGGCACAATGATGCAATACCACAAAAAGTAGAGCCACCTGTAACATGGGGGACACTCTCTTCAATATGTTTACAGTCTTTATGGAATTACTAAAAATATTTAATTTATATGAACTATCATCTACTATTAATGTTCTCAAGCAACTACTGACACGATAGCTTTTTCCTTCATGAATTTATTTTAAAGTAACATCCTACATGTTGTAACAGTTAATAGCCTCCAGCTGAACTTAATTGGTTCTAATTCATCCAACTTTGAAAACATAGTTGTTATTTCACAATGCATGTGGAAGCAAACACTGCACATAGCATGACATTTGAAGAAACAGCAATCCCAATACATTTTGCATTTTCTAGCTTTTGTCAATGAAAAATTAGAAGGTTTTTCTTTTACCCTTTCTCACAAGAATTCTCACAAGAGAATTCACAGGGTTCACATTTTGCAAACACTGGGGTAGAAGTCAAGCTCAATCACATTCCCACAACCCCCCCCACCCCCTTTTTTTAATGATTAGACCAAAAGATTATCTTACCATGTGATTCAAGCTCTGCTCCTTGGGCAAGACCATTATCATAGGACTGAAAAACAAAAATAAATTGACAATGTAATTTTTTTAAGAGGCAGGTTTTTTTTAATGTTGCATAAGGTGAATTGAACTTGGTCAGGACCAAGAGCAATGTGTTAGAAAGTAAAACAAAAAGTAGAACAAAAAACCAGAATCACCTCCCTCACCTGCATTCTTCTAACTGGAGACTGGAGCTCCATTAAATGGTAGCACTTTTAATTCTAAATGAAAAACAAAGATCTAACTTTTCAATCACTAGAGGAGACATGGAAATATTAACTTTGTGAAAGATTGGATTTTGTTTTAAAATCTAGCAGTTAACTCTTCTGCTTGGATTTAAATATGTTCAAGCATAACTATTCATAGAAAAATGCTTTTTCTCCCCATCTTCCCAATGTATTCACTTGCCTCATATCCGAGGGTTCAGGATTCCTCCAATGGAATCCTCCACCCTGGCACAGGTACAAGGAGCAACAGTAGTAGTATACTAGTTTGTCAGTGTATACTTAGAATGCGGTGAGTAAATGCAGAAACCTGAGGGAAAGAGATTCCACACAAGTAGAATCACACAATATATGACTTTCTTTTATAAGCCTATAAAATATTACTTTAAAATAACATTTGTCTGGTCAAAATAACTGATTATCCAACCCTATGAATTTCAGCAGCATGCCATTTTGTATTGCCTACACAAGTTGATATTTAATACTAACAGCCTTATTCATTTGCACAGTAACATAAGATATGGTGAAACAAACAAACATCTTTGTGTAGTAGTTCTCTAACAATGATATCTATTTTGCCTTGTATAAAGAGCCATTGTTCAAATAAATACAGAGTCAGTGTGGTGGTTAAAGTGCCAGACTAGAAACCAGAAGATCATGCATGCTAGTCCTCCCTTAGACAACCTGTTCATTCTCAACCAATACAAATCTCAGGATAATTTTTGTGGGGAATAGGTGGAGGGGCATTATGTACACCAAATAAAGATACAATATAAGTTTGATAAATATATTATCCATAACCTAGAAATCAACATCAGTGATTGTAACTTGCATCAATGATTGAGATAGATAGATAGATAGATAGATAGATAGATAGATAGATAGATAGA